AGCTTTTCACTCCTCTGTTTTAAAGTTGAACTGTGTATTTAACACTTGTTCTAGTATGATGATTAACAGTTGGATGAAACTCTTTCTTTTTTTTCTCTTCATTAAACAAAAGCTTCACATTCTTTCAAATTGAGTTATCACAGTGAGTCAGAAAAAATAGGGATTTGGATAAAAAGATTCAAGGTTCAAGTGAACTTCTGAAATTAATTTTCATCCATGATTTAGCAGAAATTAGTGCCAATTACATAAATCAAAAAGTACAGTGCTTCCCTCTCAGCAAATAGCTGTTATTTTGTATTAAAGATTAAAAATATAATCCTAGTCCAGCCTTAGACACACTTCTTCCACGAAAGTACAACCTATATGGTTTCCTTAAATTTGAATGTTGCTCCTGACTTGCACAGCTTTGAAAGAAGAAAGAAAATGGCCAATAGGACAACTAAATAAATAAGACAAGGACAACAAACAGAAAATATTCACCAAGATCTGGATGACTGCAGAAGTAGGTGAAGAGTTTGCATGCGAAGAATGGCTGGTGTTGGAAGTACATAAGGGGAAAATAATTACTCAAAACCAGATTTTAAGCCTCTATGGAGTAAATTTCTTATAATCAACACTGACATCATCAGCATCCCAGTCAAATATGCTCGGAAAACATTTAGCGCTAATCTAGTAAACATGGTTATAAACCCAACATCTAATATTCTAAAACGGTCTCTTCAATTCTAATACGATTGACAGTATGAGGAGCCAGCACGGCTCTTCTTGGAATAGCAAGCATCTGCTCCAAGAACTGCATCTATGGAAGACTGGGAAACATAACCAAACAGCATGAGCAGTAAAACCACGTGCTCCGTGCAGATACAAAACCTGCTGAAATATTCAGTGACTTTGCAGCAGAACTTAACACATATATGCACATAAAGAGACTTACTGTTGCTATCTACAACTCATAACCTTTTGTCATGCTACTAGTGAATTTATCTGTTCTTTATATTTTGGCTGTAAAAAGAACAAGCATAATATAGAATTTTATTTACAACTAAAATTCAAAACTGGAATGGACAAAAAAAAAGATGCAACTATGATGAAATAATAAACATGGCTATCATCACCATCTGATCACTACAGTAACAAAAGGCTGTATTACAGGCCAGATTTGAACTCTTATGCCTCTTATGCATCCTAAGCTCCTTATTCCTTGAGCAACGCCTCTGAGAAAAAGTAAAACACGTACAGATCTACACTTTCTGTTCAGCGAAAGAATAAATGAACAATATAAGAAGTGAACTTCTTTCACACTGCCTAGTAGGAAGCATGTTTCTCCTCCCTGCTCCCGATTTGTTTTTAATGACAATTTTTTGTAAGTGAATAAGGTAATAGTTCTCCGCTTTTCATTCAACGAAATGTTCCCCCAGTTGAAATTTGTTCAAGGCAGCCAGACTTTATTCAATGTGTTGGTGATATGCTGGACAAATGAAAAAATGAAAAGCAAAAGCGTATAGACAAGAAATGTTTATTGAAAAAGAAAATAAAATTAAAAGACAAAAATGGGTGGGAAGCACAGCACACAGAACTAAGAATTAAAAAAACATCTTACATTCTGCCTTAATGGCAGCACAGTTAATAGGGACAAAGGGACGTCTTGCTGCCTGCCGCAGCCGAAGGGTATTTTTGCAGACCTGACGGGCCAGTTTTGTCCAACACGTTGTGTGAAGAAAGAAAGCTTGACGTGTTTTCACTGCTGACTTTGGACTTCCAGTGTTACGAACTGGAGTTCCCTGTGTGGCCTGCCGGGACATGTGAGTCCTAACATGGGATTCCTACAAAAACAAACAAAAAATCATAACACATACAACTGAATTACATCATTAAAAAAAGCCACAATTTGGATAAACTCACAAGGTTAATCAAATAGTATGTATAAGGACTATACAAAAAACTGGGGCTTACGTAAGAAGCTGTAAAACACAGAGTAGAGAACTCTATTGTAAGTGGATATATAATGCCATTCAAGATGAGATACTGTATAGTCTATTAACATTTTATAGATTACACCATTTAACTGACAAGATTACATTTGGCCACCAAAAATGCATGAAGTGGATGTCTGTTTATCTAAGACTTAGTCAAATAAAGACATGGCAGGACCTGCACACTGTTCAGTTCTACTTAAGACAGGAAAAGGGTTAATAAGTTGAGTTTTGTAATACCAAAGTTGAACATATAAATAAAAAAATCATTCCATTAAATATTCAAATCACAGCAGTCTTGTGAAAGCACCATGTTTCGTTTTAGGAAAGTTTATCTACACAATCCTACCTCTATAGGTTGGCTGGAAGACAGTTTATCTTCATCTGTCTGTGTGGGCATTTTCAGGCCACCGTATTTCTTCCAATAAATCCAGCAAGATGCACACAATCTGCATTGCATATTAGGAGGACCCCAAGAATACCACTGGTGAGACTGTGGAGCTAAGGAGGAGAAAACAGCACAGGTAAACTGGTGCATGATACATTCAATATAATAAATCCAAACGCTGTAATATATGGCTTTATATGGCCATAAAATATGGCATTATAAGAGCATTATGTGGATAAATATTTAACACATTTGACACAGAGAAAATGAGAACTTAAAAAACCCAAATAAACTAAAAATTCAAAAAAGCACCCCAGAAGTCAACTCCAAATGGAAATTTCAAAAATACTTCCCCATTTAATTTCAAACCAGGGACTTCATATTGCCAAGAAGAGATTTTCTTCCAGAAGACTACCAAAACAAGCAGCCCTATAAATCCTCCACTATTTCTAATCTTACCCTGGAAGACAGGCTTATGAAGTTGCTTGCTACTTATTAGAATTACTTAAGATCTGGGGTTTTTTTGCTCAAGTCATGCAGAGTGAGTACTTATAAATCAAGATCCATATAAGAAAAGGACAAGCACTTCTCCTACTGACCTTGGAGATGCACGTGTCCCTTTATCTTGTGCGTATGGAGACTTAGCAGGAAGCACCAATTTAACCTTTTTTCTTTTCTTTTTGTAATCTTTCACAAGAAAACTATTCTTTAAAAAATGTGATTTGAAAACCAACGAAGTATATAACTAGAACTTGCTATATACAAAATATGGTTTTAATTTAATTGGTGTTTAAGAGACAGGCAGCCATAGCAATGATAAGTAAAGAACTCTCATACGGTAGGCCTCTTCAACTCTTTCCAGTTCTGGATTTTATTATATCTTCTCTCATATAACCTACATTGAAAGCTGCTATTTCAACAAATCCAACAAGGACCATCAGAAACACACAAAACACCAGAAAAAAAACCAACATGCACCTCGGCCCCCCCCCAATAGAGTGGGGACCCCCCCCCCCAAAACCAGAAAAAACAACTCTGCCACAAAAAAAGTTATTTCTGCTACACAAGTAATTGAAAATTATCCTCTACAGCATGCAAACAGAAGCACATACATTTGTTTTTAAAAACAGTGCATATTGATTAGCCCAAACTCCTGAATTATTTAAATAATAATAAAAAAAATTTACTTACTATAGCAACTTTCACAAGCCCGACCTATTAGTGAGGCCTGTGCCTGATAAGAGGCTCCCATTGCTCCATTGACTGCAGCGGGTTTCCCATTGTTGCTAGATATTTGATTGGGATTTGGTTTATTGCTTTAAATAAAATAGAAAAAGTAATTTTACTAACCAGTTAGTCAACATGAAAACAATCAATCTAATTCTGGAATTCTGATGGGTGGTGACAACATCTATAAAATCTACTCTAAACAACAAGTCTAATTTTTACACCTCTCTAGTATTTTCAGCTCCATAAGAGACTTGCTGTATTTTGATACTCAAATTTACAGATCTTTGTAAAATGCTCTCACATAGTCCAAGCTACTTGGCAAGCTAGTAAAAGACCAAGTCTCAGGGTCAAGCATTAACAAAAGCATGACACAGCACAGAATTTCAGAAGAGGTTCAACAGATAAGGCTTTACAAGGTGAGGCTGGACTTTGGGTGAAGTGTAACAAGTTAAGAGTAGTAACACTGCCTATAATACTACAACGCTGTCCACCCTATAAGAGGGTCTGCTGCCTCTTATCTCAAGCAGAATTACGTACCTCCCCACCAACTGCAGTAAATGTGAATGTCCTATAACCCTGGCAAAGCTCGCCCATATAGTATCAGGCTGTTCTCTCTGGGTTCTGTCCTGAACTACTTTCTCTCTGAGAAGGCTGAAGAACTGGTTTTGGATTTTTTTTTTTGTTGTTGTTATATTATTGTGATTATTTTACCTACTAATACTTCAGTGAAGTAGGACTTTACAGGTCAGTTAATTCAGAGAGAATTAATATACTCCTCACTAGGTTAAGTACAGTATTTCCAAAGCTCCAACTCTGTGGGTGTTAATTACCCCATTGATGAGCTATACTCTCAATACAATGCAAGGCTGGATACATTGATTCCTAAGATGATTATTTGTTACTTTAGGCAGCGTAAAATATATTCAAGATTAGTTAAAACGACTAACTGAAGAAATCTTTGTTGTATCAAGTCTCTACTCCAAATGCCAGCAAGTCTGTCTCCTGTTTTCTCCTTTTTCACTATAACCAGTAAGAGACACTTCTACAATTTCCAGATACTCTTTATCAAGTACCTTGGGCTCAAGGTACAAGAGGAGGGATCAAGAGACGATTAAGACTCCCACGTTATGATATGTTGCTTAGTTACCTTCCAGAGAAAAGCCATGAATTGAAAGGGACTCTCTGGCATTGAGGACAGAACCTTGCTTTTACAGGAAATACCTTATGATCAAGTTCAAAAACGTATTCAGCTCTGAGAATCCATTCTACTCAGATTTCAAATATAATAAATCAGTCTTGAAACAGGGCATTAGCAATCCATTTGTGGCGGAGTGCCCCAGATTGCACAGTTATCAAAGACCTGAGAAGTCCTACCACCTTCTTACCATTGACTATGGATTTTTTCTTGACATGGAGGCAAAAGACAGACAGTAAGAAAGATAAAGGCAAAAATCCTACATTTCAAAACAGCTTTTGTCATCCAACACAACTAGTCCCGGCTGCAAACATACTGGCAGAAGTCCTGAACTGTCCACATGGACCAAGGAAATTAAACTGAAAAAACATTATGGGAAGACTGAGCATCTTACAGTTTCCCTAAAGCAGCCACTTCCCTGAGAGGGTTAGGAAACACTCCTACTAGAGTGTTCAGCTTCTTTTAAAAGGCGTCATTTATTAGAGACTTGAGCTTTAAAACTCACAACACTTTTTCAGAGATGAGATTAAAAGACTGAACTTAATAGTCTGCTGTTTGTATTATTAAATCTGATTAAGAGAGAAGTGTGCATGAAATATGGAAATGAAGCTCTATTGTATGCAATTTATACAAGTCACCAAAAAGACAACAGTGGATTTTCAAAGTATTTCATTTGGTATTCTAGTCTTCTGTTATACAAACACTCTTAACAATGGGAAATTCAAATATATGTAAACTGAATATACCCACAGAAAGCTTAAAAGAATGTCATCTGTAATCCTTTCTCTTCTCATAATCTTGAGGAAATTATGAATATGAGAGACAGATTGTATCTTGTTTCTGTAAACCACATGTTAACAAAAGCAGATACAGCATCTAGTTTAAATCTTAAAAAACCAGATTAAAAATGCCTCAGAAGAAACCAGATTTCATTAATAAGACTAGTTCAAAGATAAAAGATTTTGGGCTGTGTGCTACCTTTAATTTACAGCCAGAACATCTCTTGTCTCTAGCTGAAGAATAGACTGTATCAACAAGATAAAACTGTAACGGGAAATGGAAAAGTATTTGATTTTATTTTATGTAGCTACATTAACAACTGCTTCTGTTTTCAAATATTGCATTTACACAAATATGAAATGTTGTGCTACAGGGATTCAGAAGCAATTATGCTGGAAAAGCTGCTTTTTAAATGATAACGCCCTTCTAGCATGGGAGCAGTCCACACAGCACTTGATCACCTTTTGTAAAACTTCCCACCGTTCAAGAACAGGCAGTCTCTGCAGGTCAAAGACAGTGGGCTCAGCTAAATATGAAGGTTTCACTTATGACAAGCGTTTGTGGCATTTTCCAATTATATCTCTGTATGTTCTATTTGTATGTAACAAATACTAAGAAAGTAACCATTAAAAAGACGACTAAGAAAATATCATACATGTTACTGTTTCAATTTTACCTGTACATTATTAAAAAAAATGACTTTATTGTTATACTCACTAGGTGGGGATGTATACTTGTTTCAATTTACTTTCTGCTTCAGCTGCTTTCAGACGTTTCTAGTTGAAAAATTAACACATTAAAATACTTTATTATATTCAAGTACAAGATTTCATAAAACTGCACACAATCCATCTTTAAATTACTTCTACTTTGTGATTCCACAAGAGCCTCCAAAACAAGTGCAGAAATTGACAAGATGCAAACCATGAAAAAGGAGTTCTTTGTTTTTATTATTAGTTTGAAATTATGGTATACTGTCCTCCCCTGTAAAACTCACAGGCCTCACAAATGACTACAAAACTGTAAAAACGACAATTACAATTTACAGGAATTACATCTACATAAACATGTACGACATTGTGGCTAACCCTCATTGCAGAATAAGTAGAAATTAAATGAGTGAAACTGCACACAATGTGTTCCTCATCAGTCACGTAACTCAATACTTCTTGTGCACTCTGTCAAGCCTGAGGCTAGTATTTTACAAGCAGTATAAGGAAGTGGAACCGTAAACTGCACTGACTTAGAAATAACTAAACATCTACTTCCATTAAGTGCCAGGAAAACTGTAGCTCAGGAACACAGCGGTAGCTGGACAGCTACAGTACTATCAAGATAGTCTGTGAACTTACTAAATTATTGCTTTCTTCATACTTGCAACAAACTCAAAAACATGATGCACTCAAGGTAGTATTACTAACTTCTAAAATGTTGAGAAGTTTTAGTTATTGCCATGTATTATAAAAGTAACTAAGATGACAAATTTTTTCAGCAATGGCAGAAGAAATAGAGAGTTCAAATATCTACTGTTTATCTGAAATATTTGTCTGTATGTAAAAGATGAAGGAAAAAGATGAAGGAAAAAAGATTATTTCCCTGCTCTTCCTGTACTCAAGACTTTTCTTCTATTCACTGGGCGGGGGCAGGGAGCGAGAGAAAAGGAGTTGAAACACGGTCAATTTAATCACAGAGGAGGAAAAAAACCAAGGGGCAACACTGATATCGAGCAATAATAAATCAACATTACCTGCCTGCCTCTCAAGATTCCCCCTTTCTTTATCAGTTGTTTACAATTCAGTCCTCCATTTCATCCTCAACAGCCAATTCTCTTCTCTGCTATACTCGTATTTTCTGATATCCAATCTTTGCAAGGCTCATAGTCCAGGAAGGTATTTCCCACCTTGAGAAAACTATCATCAAAAGACACTGCTCTGAGAGTCTCTTGCCTCAGCCATGAGGCAAGTTACATGGTTAATCAGCTTTACTGGTCAAGTAGCCAAAGAAAGCCTCTTTGTGTAAACCACTGCTCTTTTCCATTTTGGAAAGTTGCCTCTGTGCCATCCATCACCGTAACTCTCTTTATAAAAACTGCATCTTTGAGGAGCAATCTATGACAAAGAGACTCCTAAGCAGTCCATGCCGCCACAGATTAATTCCCATGCAATACAAGAGCCCTTTTCCATTTATTTCCAAGATAGGCTTTTCTTTTTTTTAACCAGCTTTTTGCTGTTCACAGATGCCTAGTTGCGTTCAGAGGTACAGAAGTGACTTCCATTGATGCATCTGGTGCAGTTGCAGTCTTTCCCCAGCACCAGGCTTGGCAACACCACACTACCTTCAAGAGGCCCACCGCAGAAATGCAAACACAGTATGCTCTGCCTGCCTAAGTCAGTTTTTACAAGAGCAAGGAGAAAGAACAGCAGCAGCATGTTCCAAGTGTCATAAACCGATTTAATCTGAGAACATTTCACAGCCCCAGCAGCAGAGCTCTCAATGGTGAACTCTTTCTGCTCAACAGCTTCAGGCCACAGGCTTTCCACAACTGTCTCTTTCTCCTTTTCATATTATACCCCCACAATATACAACTTGTTTTCAGACTGAAAAAGCATGCGAGACTGCAAGTCAGCAGGTAACATGCATTCCACAGAGGTCTGTAACAAGCTAGTCCCATTCTACAAGAAGAACAAATAAACCTCACCGCACACCTAAGATGATCATCAGAGCAAAAGAGAAAAAAACACAAGGGAAAGAAATGAGGAAAGTAGCCTTGAAGCACTGTCAAAATGTAAAGGCATTTGTAGGAAGCTGTATTGAGCCCCGGTGGCAGTATCAGTGAGAAATTACTATACACATTAATTAAATTTTAGCATACTTTTAGTACTAGCATGAGGGTTGTAAGGAATGCAATTTTAGCAATTGTTTTCCTCCTTTATTTACTAAAGTGAATCATATACTGCCTTCTACAAAATAATCACACAATGCCATTTCAGTATAAGCTAAATTTTTATGCGCTAAAACTATGGTTAACATTGCTCTCTAAAAGCAACAGAAAATGTCAGTTTGAATTCACACTGACCTATCAACTTTTAAGTACCAAGAGAGAAGAAAGGATGCAGAAACAAAATATCAAAACTATCAACAAATAGTTGCAATTTCTGAGATGAAACCTCTGCCTGTTGAAATTTAGAGGATGAAAACTGGTAAACTGTAAAGGTTGGAAGTTGAAATTGAAAACATTTAGACAAGAAACAAAGCACCAGTTTGTAACAATAAGGGTAATAAATCACTGGAGCAATGAAACAGAGAAAGCTGATGCTTTTCCCCCCAAAAAAATTTACATCTGATCTTAAATAGTAACTATTTCAAACAAATCTTACAACCTCTGTTGTAGGGGAGCTCAAGCTACACTAACTCAGCTTTTCACCTGGGCTCTACTACTTTTAATCAACTATCCTTGAAACTGAATGTTATTTCTTTTTAAGAACTTTTGTTGTGAATATCAACTGACAAATATCCCAAGAAATGACTGTTTCCC